GCTTAGTTGTCTTTATTCAAAATAACTTCATTAGATTGTATTGTGACAGCTGTCATATCAGTGTGCACCTAAGAAAAACTTATCAAAACTGGTCAATCTTTGTGTATCCATTTTAATATTGAAAATAAAAGAAATAAGCAACATTTTCTGCATATTTTACTTTATTATTTCAAGAAGGTAAAAACTCAACTGAAATGCAAAAAAGGATTTGTGCAGTGTATGGAGAAGCTGCAGTGACTGATTGAACATGTCAAAAGTGGTTTGCACAGTTTCATGCTGGAGATTTCTCGCTGGATGGTGCTCCACGGTTGGGTGGACCAGTTAAAGTTGACAGCGATCAAGTTGAGACATTAATTGAGAATAATCAATGCTATAGCATGTAAGAGATAGCCAATATACTCAAAATATCCAAATCAATAAAGTTACTGGTGAAAATGAAAAAGGTGTCTTTTATTTTATGGAAAAAACTCACTCAGACTTTTTGGCCAGCCCAGTACTATGATTAACTAAGCTGTTAACATTAGGGAATGTGTTTAACTACAAACATATTACAATTAGAGGTAAAGTATTAGGTTCCCAAATCATGTCTCACAACTTTCTACTTCTGAGCCTTTTATTACATCATTTCATTTAACTGAAATATCTTTGCCCCATATCCCTTAACAAAATCCTTTCCACATTTGCCAGCCCCTCCATGGTTCCCGCAGTCCAAAGTTGTTTCTCTCTACTCTTAACTCCAACTGCACTTTAATTGCACCCTTTTCTTGACACTTACCACAATCCCCTTTACATTTTAGCCATTGATATAAATGATTCACTTATCCTAACAGACAGGTTCATTGAAGAAATATTATATTATCTGTTACCCCACACCATGTCTGAAATTGTATGAAACAGAGTTGGGGTTCAATAATGGCTTTTGGAAAGACCCTTCATTACTACAACCTTTATGAACTTTAAACTCTTAAGGAACCAATAAATAATCTAGAATGCCAATTCACTCATATGTACTGAGAACCAGAACTGCCAATCCAAAAGGGAGCTCATGTTGGTTTAGCCTGCATATTTCTTCGGGTTAGAAGAGACATAAGTGGAGAGTCAAACTGGAATCAGATGACTGCTCAGGGAACAAGGAGAACAAATGGGGTGATTTTCATGAACAAACAATAGCACCAAACCAGGTGGCCTGAGCAAAAAGCCACACCCATCACCGGGGCCACACTGCCTGTTCTCAGGTCTGGACCCCGTCTTTGCTCAGTGCTCCGTAAACACTGACCAGGTTTTCTCTTATGACTCTAGTTTCTGTTTCCACACTAACCTTTACTATTTATTTACTTATTTATTCACTTACTTACTTTCTGCTTGCTTATTATTTTGCAGTTCTCAGTTCTGGCCACATACTAGACTCACCTGGAAAGCTTTCCAAATTCCTAATGCCTGGACTTTACCCTGGGTCAGTTCAATCAGACACTCTGATGATGGAACTCAGGTCTTGGAATTTTTGAAGCTCTCCAGGTGATTATAATTGCAGCCAAGGATGAGCACTCCCATTATACTGATATACTTTCTGTTTAGCTATGTTAATATCACCACGCAGGAAGCAGGCAAATCCAACCTTTCCTGCTTTTGGCCCTGAGAGTTCCACGTTCTCTCCTGGAGAGACGTTATCTCTCCTTTTCTCCAGTTTGTCTACTACTTTAACACCCAGGCTTGTGGGGATGCCCTACCCTCACCCAGAAGGAAAACTTTCAGGCACCACCTCCCAGGTCTCCAGTGCAGTATATCGTTAGGTGTAGCAGCACAATAAGGTAGGACATAAGACTTCTAACATATATGTCCAATATTTTATCTTTTACCATCAGCATTTGACAAAAATGAGATGGGGGGCAGCTGAAAGTAAGTGGTAAAGAATTTATCAGGGGAGGGGTATGCAGGGTGGAGGGGAATGGAGGGGGGGAATAGAGCAAATGTAATGGCATAATCAATTTAAAAAAATATTTAAAAATTTGGGAAAAAAAGAATTTATCAGAAAAAAATGAAACGAGTAATTTCCTGAGAGCTAATTTCTCTGTGGCTCACAAAGTGGGTCCATGCTGTGACATAAAAATGAATCAGAAAAAGATCAATCTTCCCGGCTGGTATAGCTCAGTGGATTGAGTGCAGGCCTGTGAACCAGACAATCGAGGTTCGATTCACGGTCAGGGCACAAGCCTGGGTTGCAGGCCAGTTCCCAGCAGGGGACGCACAAGAGGCAACCATACATTGACATTTCTCTCCCTCTCTCCTTCCCTTCCCCCCTAAAGATAAATAAATAAAATCTTTAAAAAGAAAAAGATCAATCCCATACATTGAGAACTGAGATGGTTTACACTATGTACAATGTGTTGGTGCCACAAGAGTGAAAACACTATGAGAAGGGGGTCCAGCGGGAACGAGTTAGCAGGAGACTGTGGGAGTCTTTGCAGAGGAGGCGGCGTTTCAGCTGGGCCTGGGAGGGTGCGTAGGATTTGAACCCGTGGGGCTAGAAAGGACATTCTGAAAGGAAATGGACCAAACACCGATGAAGAGGTTGAAACTCTGGAGGATGGAGAGGCAACAGCAAGTAGTTCCATTTCCCCTGGGCGAGAGAGAATAGAAGACACCAGCATCTGAAGTATTCTGTCACTTTGGAAGTTTGGGAATTAGACCCCCTCAAAGATGTGGTTAGATCTTAACAAGAAGTTATGAGAGTTCAGCTGTTTGCTTTTCACACCCATGATCTGATATGATGTGTCCAAAAGTGGATGAATGCATTCATGTATTTATTAAATTAAATTAAATTACAGAAGGGGATACTTGGAGACAAAAAGGCCAAGTATTTCAATGGAGACAAAGCATGTTCCTACGAGGTGCAAGTTTGGCCAACTGCCTCTTTCAGTATCATTATTTTATCTCAATATAAAGAGGGTAATGCTAGGCTTGTGCATGTTGAGAGCAAGTCTGGGCCTTCAGGTGAGAAATATCTCTGTTAACAACAAGAACAGAGCAATCCCCGCACGTCATTCCTTGGGAGCCCGGGAAGTGAAAGCCTGACAGCTCAGGGCAGAAGCCCAGGCAGCCCTGCAGCTGTTCCCGGGCCCTGCCAGCAGCTGTCACCAGAGCCATGAGTCTCCAGGGAGGGCAACTCAGCCAGTGGAATGGAAAATGGTATGGCAGTTCCTCAAAAAAAAAAAGTAGAGGTACCATATGACCCAGTGATCCCTCTTCTGGGAATCTACCTGAAAAACTGGAGAACATTTATTCCCAAAGATGCGTGCACCCCTCTGTGCGCTGCAGCATTGTTCATAGTGTGGTTCTAGAAGGTCTCCCTGTGGCGGGGAGGCTCCTGTCGGTTGGCAGGAAAGTGGAAGGAACAGGCCCAAAGCTACACCACTCAGTCACTGATACTCACTGAGTTGCCCAGACCTCTACACCCCCGCCCAGGCAGCTGACTCCTCAGCAGGGCGCAAGCTCCACAGGGTGGGGCTATAGGGAGTCCAGAGTGCAGAGCTATTCTATTCCCCCAGGCTGATGCCCTGCAGAGAGGAGTGCTCAATGCAGGAAAAATGGGATCTGTTATTGAAAGAGTGATTCAACACAGGGATCCTGGTGGCTGTCCCTTCGGCTCTCTCCCCATAGCCACAAACCCGTCTTTCCTCCAGTCTACTCGACCCTCCCTCTGCTGAAGCCCACCGTGAGTGGCTGAGACCAAAATTTTGTGTACTTGACCTTTAAGAGGGTACCTGTGGGCTCTGGCTGGGTACCTCAATTGCTTACAGTATCATCCTGACACCAAGGTTGCAGGTTTGATCCCTGGTCAGGGCATGTATATGATTCAATTTATGACTGCATAAATAAGTAGAACAACAAGGAATCCACGGGACTCCCTCTCCCCCCACCCTCCCTAGAATAAAAAGAAGGTGCCTATATCTCTAGCAGACTCTTGTCTCTCCTGAGTAGATAGAATCCCTGTTGATTCTCACAGCCAAATGTTATGTGGGCACCTCTTCCTGGCTCTGGTGCTCTGGGATGGAGAGTCTGGCTTTGAGTTGAGACCCCATGCTTCTCAAGGGGAACTTTTGCAGTTGCGATGCTCCTCTGGAATTTCAGCCGCTGCCCATAGGAACTGAGCCAGCTCTTCTCAAGTCTCTGCCCTTCCTACTAGTCTCCTGTAAAGCCTTGCTTATAAGACTTCTCTTCAACTAGTCTTCAGGTCGTTATTCAAGTTGACTGCTCTATATTTTAGTTGTAATTCCAGTTTGGTCCTGGGAGGAGGTGAATGTAGCTTCCACCTACTCCACCACCATCTTAGATCTGATCTGACTCTTGTAATTCCCCTCCACCGAGCCCCTCAAGAGCATATGTGCAGATTCACATTACGGCTGCACCATGTCAGCTTCCCTCTCGGGCACCTTCCTAAGCGTTCTCATGCTCACTTGGGGATCAGTCCAATGCACAGCCTATTAGCACTTGGAGAGAACACGGAATGGCAGGGGAAACTGCAAATACCTGAAGTAATCAAAATCAATACATATGAAGGATTCCCATGAAGAAAATGAGCCTTGTTTCCATTTCCAATTCGTACTGGGGGAAGTGAGCCGCAGTGCTGAAACTCAGAATTCAGGAGGCGTGCCTCTGCTCTCCCCAGGCCTCCATCATGGCATTTAAATGTCTGTCTCAGCACTGGACCACTGTCAGAAGTTTGGAAAATGCCTTCCCACGAAAAAGATATTGAAGCACTCTTCTGCAGCATCTCCGTCTTAAATATATTCACTCTGAACTTTCCAAATGAGAGAAACCCTTCATTAGAAACAAATTTGTCCATTACCTAGAAATGGTCATTCTTAGCTGCAAGACATGAGACCCCAGGTCTCTTTAGTCCAGTTTGTGGTTTGGTAATAGAACTTTTGAGATATCTCTTTGCAGACAACTTTTTGAAACAGAGTTTTATTAAGATTTCAAGAAGAGAAGGAAACTCTCACCTCGCAGTACTCCGTGATAATGCAGAAATTATCTTGCTCTACAAAGCTTGCGTGGAACTTGACAATGGCTGGGTGGTTCAGCTTGGAAAGGAGCTGGGCCTCCAAACTGGCCTGCATCGTCTCATTTGGATTGAGTTCTCCAACAGAGATTTCCTTCAATACCTTTCTGCAGCCAAAAAAAGTCTTAATACATTTAGAGCTAAAAGAAATACACACACACACACATTTAAGATCCGAACAAGTGGTGCACAGCCATCTAATTAATACCCGGGCTGTGACCTACTCATACATCTGGTATTGCCTGTTACAACACTGTGTCTCCAGGTGGTGCCTGGGCCTGCCTCTCCATCCTAGCCGGTGACATGGCTTCCCCGGGCCTCTGACCTCCACGCCTGTGGCTCTACAGTTGGGTTGAACAGGGCAGAGATGGAACATCACCGCTGCAGTGCCCTTCCTCTGTCTCTCCAGGTATCTCCACTTCTCCTTGTTATTTGCACGGTGGCTCTGTTTCTGTTTGTCTTTTCTGTCTCTCTGTGTTTTTTCTCTATCACATGTTTTCCTCTGTTTCTGTCTCTGCTTTTCAATTCCTCTCTTTATCTTGGTGTCAATATCTCTTCATCTCTGTGTCCCTTTGTGTGTGTGCATATCTCTCTGTATGCAAATATAATGTAATATAATAAAATATAACTATAATATGTCACTGTCTCTCTGTCTCTTATTCTTGCTGTGCCTATGACTCTCTCTGACTCTCCCTCTGCCTGTGTGTGTGTGTAATACACATAACACACACACATGCTTCCCTCTGTCCCTAAGCTTTAAAATTTTCCAAATCTATGAATAAGACAATATCTACATATTTTATTTTTAAACAATTTTTTGCATAGCATACTTTATTATTACTGATATTATGAGAAGAGAAAAAAATCTAAAGACCTTGTCAAAGGTATTTAGGATCTTAAGGATATATAAGTGGAACAAAAACTCATTAAATCTCCAAATTATTAATTTAAAAATTGTAATAACTCAGTGAGTAGTGGACCAAAACATTATTTCTTCCCATCTAAGAAAAAAGTCGTCTGCCGAATAAACCAATTACGAGAGCAGAGTGTAAACTAGATTGTCAGGGAGAAGGACTGCGGGGCACCGATTAGCATGCAGACAGGTCCCACTGATTACGAGTGAACTGGAGCTGTGAATTAAGGCAAGTTCTGCAGGACCTGTAGTAGAAATCATTGTCCAAACAAAGTTCTTTAAGAGTTACCACCTATGCATATCAATGAAAATGTACTTACACAGAAGCTCTCTTAAATAAAGGCCCTTTAACCAACTCATGGATTAAGCAGAGCCCCCCAGTCCCTCCTAACAGACGCAGACAGCTGCCTTTCCCCAAGGGGACACCTGGGCACGGAGGCGTGCTCTGGCACACCCATTTGTGTCCTTCAATTGAGAGGTGTGTGCCTACCCAAGTCACTGTGTTTGTTCTCACACTTGTGTACGCCCGTTGTGATCAACGTTGTAAATTTGTGACTAAAAGATGACAAACTGATGAAGGATAAGTGTGAAAATTATCTTTGCTAGGAAAACTAAGTCAAACACTTACCAAAAAAACTGACAAGTTGCAAAACAATATGGTTAAATAAGTAACTAACAAGACAATTCTAAAACATTGGTTGAAAAATGTAAAAATCCAGGATTCTTTTTACGTGTTCTTCATGGCCCTCCCACTCTGAATTCACCCCACCACAAAAAGGCGGCCACAGGCGGCACTGCTCCCACAGTGAAAGGACGACTTCGCGGACTCTGCTCTGGCATTTTCAAGTCTTTAACTGTGACCGCAATTTAGAAAGTTGGAATATTTGGTTCTCTTTCCCTCAATGTGCTTTCACATTGGTATTGTTAATTACAGAATACCCTATTAGGTTCCTATTTATAATGAAGTATGTTCTAGAGAAATGCTTGCTTGGTAACTTATGTTAGGGAAAAACTTCTTTCAAGAAATTGGTTAAAAATGATCTCATGTTATTAAGAGTGGCATCTCAGGTTGTTAGTATAGTATAAGGAGCTTGAAATGACATATGCAGTTGTGTTTTTTTGTAACTTCTGAAGAGTACAAAGCAGCAGGCAGAGCTCAGTAGTGTCTTCACAGCGTTTCCCAGTTAACTACTGTGCTCCAGCTAACATGCAATTATACAAGCCACAGTGGTTAAGCAAGACAATAAACCTCATTGGCCACTGCGCTAAGCTAATCAAGACAATAGAAAGCCTTACACAAACCTGCTGTGCAGGGCCAAATGCTATGAAAAGGTTTAACATAAACCTTGCAAATATCAACCATTGTCTAACAGGGCATGAGATTTTACACACAGTTACCTGAGCCTCACTTGGCAGCCAGATGACAAAGCATAAAACCTGATTTGCCCACAGCTTGCCAGGTAGGACTATTAAGAGAGGTGCTATCCAGTACAATCATCTCTGGCTGACACGGAATCATTCTACCTTCCTTCCTTACCTAAAATTGTGTCACTGAACTAGCAGAGGGAGTTCTCATTGTATATCACAGAAGATGAGATCCATATCAGCCAAAGAAAGCATGGAAACTTACCGAGTCAAGGACAGCTTGTCACCTGCTAAGTGACTCTCAGCCTGTCACCCTCTCCTAAATAACATGACAGATATTTATTTTATCAGACTCTCAACTGTTCAGGAGAAGTTTTTGACAGCAGCAAAAATGGATATCCCAGCAGACTCACTTTGCAAACATTCTGTTCTCTCCCCTGAGTGTTATGCTTCTTTCTTTCTAGAATCAGCAGTGAGCTGACAAAACTTGGAGAATGACACTGGAAATCTGGGGTAAACACAGCTAATTCCATTCCCTTAGAATTTGCCCACCTTTCATACAAATAGGACAGATGACATTGTTGAGATGTTAAGCAAGGGTTGTTTTTTCCCAGATTTCCTCACAGCCTTTCACATTTTCCCCATTGAAGCAGCAGTAAATGGAAAAAGGTAACATCATAAACTACAGAGAATGATTCAAATCCTTGCTTTTCATTTTCCAGTGAAGAGACCAAGACCAAAGAGAAAAGCCATGGAGGAACACCTGACCAGTGGGTGAGTGTCCTCCCTTCCCCCAGGTGAGAAAGAGACCTCCTGAACCAGATGAAGGGAGGCAAGAAAGTTAGGCACTGCCGAGCCCTTGAAAAGAGGTCATGACCCTTGGCCAGGTCCACAGAGCAGTGTAGGAATAGAACTCCAAGATGGGCAGGGGATCCCAAGCACACAAGACTTGTGCTCTTTCCAAAAAAGGCCATAGACAATAAAAGGACCCTCATGTGTTCCTGGTGTTCAGGAGAAGCCAGGAGTGAAAAAAGGTCTTCAAGGGGAAAATAAGCCGATGGGCCTAACAGAGCTCTAGAATCTCCGGTGAGGATTGCAGAAAAGTGGCAGAAAGATGTCCCATGCAGCCACAACCATCTCAGTGAGAGCCCGTCAACTGGTGGGGCTGGAGGACTTCCCAGTTAGTCTACAAATAACTAGCTATGGTCCCTTCCCTTGTGATTTTACCATCAACAACCAAGCACTGCAAGTGTAGAGTAAAAACCTACCATGTGTCTGCAGGGTAGTGGGCACTGGGCATTCACTGTCCCTGCCCTTGTGTCTCCTGGGAAAGACAGATACTAAACAGATAAGTGTGCCCATATGTGTGTATATATGTATGTTTGTATTTTTAAAAACTTCAAATACAGACAAATGCTATAAAGTGAAGGTAAGTGATGACTGAGGTCCCCCTGATTTAAGATGCTGTGACTCTCGAATGTGATTAACAGCCAGTGTACCCACTTAGGGCAATGCCACAGGAAATAGATTTAACCTCAGCTTAAAGAAGAAAGTAATGTTTTGCTTACTTGATTTTTTTTTTTGATTCAGCGTTTACCTGTTCAACAGAGAGAAAAATAAATCTGCTCAGGACTTTTAAGATAGAGTTTTTATTCATCTAGCAAGGCAGCAATTATTTTAATGAATTCTTTTTCAAATGGTAATCTCTCATTTTTTTCTAATTTATAAGAAGATATAATTTCATTATAGAAATTTTTGAAGATGAAGCATAAGGAAAGTATTACTCACAATTCACCATTAACATTTCTATGTATTTCCATCTTTTTGCTACACATTTTTTTAAACAGTGGAGGCCAAACAATTTGCACAATTTGCCTGCTGCTGTTTTCATGAGACGGTACCATAGCTGACACCTGTCATTTGTGGCTGCCCAGCATCTTTAAACAACCTCCTTACAACTGTAGCAGATCCCTGGACAATGGGTCCCGTCTTCCCCAGATGTATGAAAACAGACAACAAACCAACCCTACATCTTCCACCTTCCTTGAGCTGGGGTGCCAGTATCTAATGTATCCCCCAGTCAGCTACGCCCATCCAAGGCTTTGCCTTGGGTGTGAGCTGTGTGAAGAAACAGGGCGGACACAGAGCCTCCCTTTTGCTAACACAGGTGTCACAAGAAAGAGCACGGCCCTGGGGAACGGCAGCAGGTCACTCCAGTGGTGTGGTTCTGGCTGATGTTTCTGGAAACTTAGCTGTCAGTCTACTCCCCCTGCCCTCTCGCTGCCACTGTGCTTGTTTGTTTTCTGGTACAAATCCTTTTCTGCTTAACCTGTGCAAAGGGTGGCTGCTCTTATCTACACACCTGGGAGTCCTGACCAGTGCAGTTATAAATGACATAGGCACATTTAGGTTTTAACATGAATCACTGTAAACACTTTGGAATAATGAAAATTGAACCTCCAAAGACTTGACCCATGAGGCTAATTTTTATTTATTTATTTGAGTCTTAAAACACTAAGATTTTCTAAGGGATTTAAGGTCACAGTATTTCTCATTTACAGGTGGGAATATCATGACAGTGGGAAACATTATTTTGAAAGTTACTTCATGCCATTATTTAATATGGCATACAACTTTAAAATATAAAGGGTGTGAAAATGTAATGTCAGAGAGTGATATGTATTTCAAAAACTGGCACACTGATAAAAAGTGGAAAAGCCAATTATCAACGAGACAAAAATAACAAGTATTGGAGAGGACATGGAGAAAAGGGGACCTATACACTGTTGGCAGGAGATACCGTATGCCCCATAGGACTCTTCTGAGTAC